CGGGGCCTGGTGCATCCACTGCTCCAGCAGGCGGCAGATCCCTCTGGAACCCCGGAAAAATTTCCCAAAGTAAAATGGGGGGGCGGTGGGGAGGGCTCCCAACTTATTACAGAGCAGAGTATAAACAGCACAAATAAATATAGAGCTGCTTTATTACAAGGCTGGCTGGCCCCGGTGGCTGCCTGATTACAGGGCAGGCTGATGCAGCGTCGCACGAGCCCAGACCTCAATAAAGGCCAGAGCGGGGCTGCCGCTCGCGCCTTCGCACTCCCGTGGCCCCCGCGCCGCACTGGGGCCAACGGCGGCTGCGGGGGAATAAAAGATGGAACAACTAGTGAGTAAGCAATGAGCAGGGGCAGGCAGGATGGGCAGCCTCGCAGGAAAGCTCTAAAAATACAGTGTATTTTCCAAGGGAGGAAAATAAATCCCCAGACTGGACATTATATATATGTTGAAAAAAAAGAGAGAGAAAAAAAAAATAAAAGTCATAAGTGTTACGGATGCGCCACGGGGGTGGGGGGAAGACCCAAGTGCAAGGAAAGAAAAACACCAGGATGAGTAAGGTGCACGCATGACGTACCTAAATACATGGGGAGGGAAATGCGTGAGCCTCCTGCCCGGCTCCCAGTACCCGTGGGCGGCCCATCCCGTTCTGCTTGTGCGTCGGGACGGATGCGTCGGGCTCCCTCGGTGCTCGCGGGCAGCACCTCGGTGCAGGCACGCGGCTCTCCGGGCCGGCTGGAAGGGCGCTCTATGCGGCGCTCCCGCACGCGCTTCGCCTCGGCCGGCGAGCAGCGCGCTCAGTGCCTGGCACCCTGGCTGTGCCGCCGGCCCCCGGGGCTCCGCAGAGAGGCTTTAGAGTGTCCCGTTTAGTGTCGTGCCGCCTGCCCTGAACCAGCATCATGCAAGCAGTCGAGGTTGCCTGTAGTTCGCTCTGCTGTTCAGTGCAGCCCTGGAAAGCAGTGGGGCCTTGCTTGGTGGCACCCAAGTACCCCAAGTCCCAAGTGTCCCCCACCATGGGAATGTCAGGAAGATGGCAAGGAGGCTGGCAAGCATGCATGTCCCCCCAACACCCGTCCCGCCAATACCCCAGGAGCATCCGGATGAAGCCAGCTCTGCTCCTTGTGTCCTCGAGGGGAATCTCAGCAGGCAGGGGAGGACACAGCAGCACAGGGCAAAG